CCTCCGGTGCCCCCCCGCCCCCCCGGCAACAGGGTCACCTTCTCAGAGTACATGGAAGGGGAGCTCAGCGGGTTGATGATGACCATGGTGGGACCGGCGTAGGTGTGCAGGAGGTTGCCACCGTAGCGCTGCCGCAGCGTGTGCAGCACACTGGACTCGTTGAGGTAGAGGAGGCTGGCGAGGCCCGCCGCGCGGTCGCAGGAGGGGGGGTTCGCCTGGCAGCGAGGAGGGTTGGGGGCATCAGGTGGGGAACGGGGGTCTGCCCCACCGTCCCCCACCCTTCGGCCCTACCTTCTCCACATCGTCCTCCTCCACCTCCAGGATGGTTCCATCGTGGTCCAGTTTCACCTTCACCTTGCCCTCGGGCAGGGGGCTGCCCTCCTCCGGCCGCAGTTGGCTGCCTGCGAGGGGCACGGGGCGCTCAGCAGGGCTGTGCCGGCCGCCCCCTGGGGACACGGTGGCCAGGTCCACAGGGGGTTCGCTGTGCCACAGGGAGGATGGGGCACCCTGTGTTCCAGCGGTGCCGGGCTGACCCCCAACTCACCCAAGGAGAAGCCATCCCTGTGCACCAGCCACACCTTTTCGGTCTCGTACCAGGCCTCCTCAGCCGCTATCTGCTCCTCCGTCTTGGCCTGCGGGACAGAGGGACATGGGGTGGTCGTGGTCACCTGCCCTCTATCTCATCCCCTCCCCACATCCCTGGTGATGGAGGCAGCAGGTCTGCCTGGCCACAGGACCACATACCGGGCAGCCACAGCCACCCTCCGCAAACCCCAAGCCCTCCCGGCGTGCCCACTGCCCCCAGGGACCCCAGTGGGCTCAGGGCTGCAGAGACCACCAGGGCCCTTGCCACAACTCCGGGCAGACATGAAGCCACAGGGGTCCATGAGCACATTCATCATGGCCACCTTGGACATGCCTGGAGGGGCTGAGCTCCCAAACCACAGCCCGGAGAGTGGGAACCCATGCCAGCCACGTGCCAGGATGCAGGGACACCGGGCATGCTGTGGGGACATGGGACATGCTGTAGGGATACGGGGCAGGGACACGCTGTAGGGACACGGGACATGCTGCAGCGACACGGGGCAGGGACACTCTGTAGGGACACAGGACACACTGCAGCGACATAACGGACACAGGGTATGGCATAGTGATGGCAGAGTACTGTGGCATGGGAAATGCCAGGCTGGCACGGCTGGCAAGCGGGGATGTCCCCGTCACCAAGGAGTAGGGCAAGCCCAAAGCCAAACCTGAGCTGCAGCAGGGATGGGGCCAAAGGGGGCTGCCGGGGCATCGTCCGCTTGACCCTGGCGAGGCCGAGAGACAGAGGGTGAAGGCGAGAAGAGTTAATCTCTGCCCTGCAGACAGCACAGAAAGTGGCGGGGGAAAGCGAGCGGGGGCAAAGTGCTGCTGTGCCAAACCCCGTGGGCACTCCTGGTGAGGGCCACCGCTGCGGCCAGCGGAGCGCCAGGTCCATCGCGACGCTGGGGATGCACGGCGCTGGGAAGGACATCGACCACGAGGCTCCGCCACCAAAGCCCCCAGGGTTTGGGGCCGTCGTGCCAACCCACTGCAAGCCCGGCCAGCGCTGCACGCCACAGCTACTCCAGCACGAGCCACACGTCCTGTCTGCACCGGGTGCTCTGCCCCTTTTCATCCTGCTCCGCACCCCTGCCCGCCCCAACCGTGCCACCTCCACCGAGAGCACCCTCCCGGGACGCCCGGCTCCCTGACACAGCCCCGCTGGGGAGATGCACCCAGCCCCGGCCGCCCCAGCACCCTCCGGCCCCGTGGGTGACACGGCAGCCCACGGAGCAGTGCGGGACGGGGAAAGCCTTACGCTCCAGCACGAGGCGCGGGCGCAGACGCCAGCCCAGCGGCAGACAGAGGATGGCGGGGGATCGCCGGCGGAGGCAGACGGCTCCTGAGGATGGGGGTACAGTACCTGGCTGGGTGCTGAGGTGGAGGCGGCGGGGTCCAGCTAACGGCAGCGAAGAAGGAGGAGAGAAAGAAGAGAGGGGATGAGAGGCAGAGAGTAGCAACAGCACCACGATGCACCACAGGGCCCCAGCACGGCCACAACCCCCATGGCGCCGCCTGAGCATCACCCCAGCCGTGGGCAGCCATGCCCAGGCTGCTGCAGGGATGCTGCCAGCGGGGGCTGCCGGGCATCGCTGGGCTGGGCAGCGACCCCAAAGCCACCAGCAGCCCCAATCATCTGTCCCCTGCTGCTGGTGCCACCCAGAGAGGGCCCATGGGGCTGGTGGCCAGGCACAGGGGTACAATCACCCCGTGCAGAGTACACGGCATAGCCGGAGCAGCCGCACGCTGCCCATACGTCCCCGTCCCTGGGTGGGCGGCACATGAGCGCCAACACCCCTGGAATTACAGAAGCGGGGAAGATCCTCTCCAGCCGGCGCTGTGCCTCCTCCGACGGGCTCAGATGGGACACGGGGCCAGGGGCAGCCTGGAGGCAGAGCACCGTTAGCACCGAGCCGGCTGCCCCGCAGCCCCCGCCAGCACCACGGCCCCCACCAGCCCTGCGCTCGTAGGCGGCGGAGGGGCCATCGCAGAGGCTTTCACAGCCCTGCAGCCCGCTGGCACGTGGGGCAGGTACAGGGGAGAAGGCTGGCGCAGACCTGCGAGCGCTGAGGTTGGCACAGCCGGGGTACCGGTGGGTTCCCCGCACTGCCCGGGGATCCGCGTGCCCACTCCCACACACCTGCTGGGGGGGTGCCGGGGCAGTTTTCACGGGGGTCTGCCGCTTCTCGCCGGGCTGCAGCTTCTTCTCCGCACGAGCCGGGAGGGGAGATAAGGGGGAGCGTGATGGGGCGGCCACAGCGCACACAACTGCCCCTTTTCACACAACTTTTTAGTGACCCCCACCCAGCACTGCATACCCCAAAACCACTGCAAACCATGCGGGTGAGCTCACACCATGCCGCGCTGGGTGGCACAACTCCACCGCTGTGTTAAAGCATTCCCCACTATGCACACACCGGTACCTTGTGCCTCTCCAGGGCGGTGGGTTTCGGAGCAGATGCCTTTGCCGGCTCCGCTTTCCCTCCCGAAGGCTGCACCTGCGGCTCCGGCTTGGCTTCAGCGCCCGGGGACAGGGACGGCTTCGCGTCCCCCCGAGCTGGCTCGGGGGACTTCTCCTCCCGCCTGTCCCCCGGCCGGAGCCGTGGCCGGTGCTCTTTGGTTTTGCCCTTTGCCATGAGGGT